CATTCGCTAGAAAGATCGAGAAGACTTAATCCCAAACTATGATCAAAGTCCGATCGATCAAAACGAAGAACAACAAGCTACGATTCCGGGAAAAGGAAAACTCAGGGAATCGAGGGAAAAAAAAAGTGTGTGATAGAACGAAACGTGATGATACCTGGGCTCGGAAAATCGGAATATGAATTTTCCGACGATCTTCAATGGCAGATTCAGTGAAGGTAAGGTCACTGAGAATAGAGAACGCTCTAGAGAGAGAAAACAACGAAAATGGGAGACAGTAGAGAGAGAGAGTTTGTTGAAATATGTGTGTAGTTGGAGAGAGCGGAGAGGAGCGGGGAAGCGACTAACGGAGTGATGAAAGGTACTGTTTCAAAACAGAAGATAAATAACATTACAAAATTAAAAAAGATTCTCAAATATATTTTGTAGAAAAAACTTTTTTTCTTTGGTAATTTTACCTTATTTGGTAAAATATTCTCAAAAATATTTTCTATATATTGGTCTTTAATACTGCTACATTAGAAATAGTGCAACTGTATTTTTTGAAAAACTGTCAAACAAATTATATATGTTTTTGGTAATTTTGTTTTTTTAAATCAATAAAATAGAACACGACAATACGTGAACATTCTATTTATCAAGAAACTCCCGACAAACATAGAACAATTATAGAATATAATGAAGAATCCGAATGACATATTTCCAAAAATATATGTATTTTACGTAAGTTCTAACTGGTGATATTCTCAAATTCATTTTCTTTCTATATATTGGTCTTTATTACTACAGTAGAAATAGTGCAGCTGTGTTTTCCTAAAAGGTTTTAAAAAAAAGTTATATATGTTTTGGTAATTTTTTTTTCTAAAATTAATAAAATATAACACGGTAATACATAAACAATCCGTTTTTCGAGAAACTCCGGACAAACATAGAACAATTATGGAATATAATGAAGAATCAAAATGACATATTTCCAAAAATATATGTATTTCACGTAATTCTAATTAGTTTTTCTTGTTACTGTTTATATTTAATTGGAAATATTTTTGTTATATAACTCTCTGTACGAGGAATGAATAGAAATGAATGTGACCATTGCATTTGATATTATCAAATTTAATATTAGTGTCGTATAGGCAGACCCGGCTTTGGGCCAAACCCAAAAACAAATTGGTTTTTCAGTATATTATAGATATAATGAATTAGATAGATAACCAAATTTGGATCCAATAGGTGCTAAGTAACTAAATTGACTAAATTGAATTCAATTTGATAAGTAACATCAAAATTTATCCACTCTATTCCAATCTAAAATTCATAAATTTAATCTATATAGTCAAGTCAACTACAAATTAATACACATAAATTTTTGTTATTAACTATTTTATCTCTAAATAAATTTGATATATTTTGGTCAATAATATTTAACTGTTTATTTCTTTTGAAGGAAACTTAACAAATTTCAAAAAGAAATGGAGAAGAACAACAACTAGATTAGTTGCATTCATACAATTTTTCAACAGAATTTATTCATACTATATAGAAACGAGTTTTAAATATAACATAGTCAAAAAAGGGTTTTTTTACTATTTCAACAACATTGAAGTACCTGTATTTAGTTCTCTAATAAATATTTTTGTAATATACAACTTACACACCTAATATTGGGTTCGAACATGCATTATGACATGCAGCTACATCAATAAAAATTGAATTTCATAATAAGTCATCAACTATGTCATTTATACGAGCAAAATAAAATTGTTTTATAACAACTAATTTGAAATTAAGTAAAAACAAATAATAAAGGTAAAAAGAAGAATTATTTTGAAATGGAAGAAATATCACAAATGTATTAGAATAAAATAAAGATTTGTATGTAAATTAGTCAAATAACAAAACATATTAGGATTTCTTTGCAAAATTAGCTAAGG